CTCCGAGAAACATTTGTTTACATTTACCAGTTTATTATAAAGGATGATACAAAGGATACAAATGACAGCCAGATATAAGATACACAGGGCAAGGCCTGGAAGGGTCCAGAGTACAGGAGCTTCTATCCCCACAGAACTGGGATGAGCCACCCACCCCAGCACCTGGATGGGTTCACCAACCCAGAAGCCTATCAAATCTTGTTGTTCAAGAGATTTTACAGAGCTTAATCTGCAGCCATTAGCACCAATCTTCTCCTTCCCAGAGGCCAGTGGGTCCGGCTGAGAGTTCTGACATTCTTTCACTTGCCCTTTCTGGGGACCACCCCCATCTTGAGGCTGTCCAGGGGTCCCATGCTAAGTTACCTCATTAGCATAAACTCAGGTATACTCAAAGGGGCTCATTATGAATAACAAAAGATATTCCTGTCATTCAGAAAATTCCACGTGCTTTTAAGATCTTTGTGCCAAAAGCTGAGGACAAACACCAAATGTATTTCTTATGATGCCACACATGGCTGAACAACAAACGCCAACTAAAACAGAACAGAAGGCGCTGAGCAGGGCTCCTGTGTACCCTGCTGTGTGCTTCTGGTGCTATGGTCCTTCTCACTTGCTTTTGCTCCTAGCATGGCACTACGACCTCTGCCTGCAGTTTGCCCTCACCCAGTCATTGACCTGATCCCAACGCACCACAGCTTATCTGCACAAGGGAGAGGCCAAGCCTCATCCGCACTGTGGGGCCAATTGTTAGAACAAGTATAAAAGAGTTTGCTTGAGACAGATCTATCCTCCTCAGATGGAGGTTGACATCTATCTGGCTGTGGCATCTTGAGCCAGTTGGCCTGGCTATTCAGAGTTGGAACTTCTCACCTTTGAGGCCTGCATATTCTTAGCCCGTGACTTACATAACAATGTTAGCTCATACCTCTATGTGCCAAGCAGTGTTTTAAGCACCTTCATTATACTAATTTATTTTATATTCACACTGCCCTATGCAGAACGTGATTATTGTTATCCCATCTTCACAGAGGAATAAACTGAGGCATTGAGAGGTCAAGCTATTTACTTGAAGTCACATGGCATGTAAGAGGGTGAGAACTCTTAGGCATTAATGTGAGATGGGTGAGTATGCAGGGCTTGAAATACGACTGACTTCATCATATCATATGACCCTGGGTGATTTGCTTAGCTTCTCTGAGACTTAGTTTCCTCATCTATAAAATGGAACTTGAAATTCTCAAGATTTTCCAAGATTTTCCTCAGTCTCCTTCTTGGCCTACATTCTCTTCCCAGGTGATCCTGTTCAGTGTTGTAGCTTTAAGTCACCTACATGCTGATAATTCTCAAAGTTAGATTTTTAGGCTAGCTCTCTACCCTGAACTCCTTCTGAAAGTTTCTGCTGAAACATTCATTTGCATCTCAAACTAAGCAAAATGGAACTCCTGCTTTTCCTCACCAAATTCCCCTCCTCCTGATCTCAGTGCAGGGGACTACCATCTTCCCAGTCGCTCAGGTTAAGAACCGGAAAGTTGGATTGTATTTCTCTTTTTGCTCACCCCATAACCAGTCTCCTAATAAGTCCTCTTGGCTCAGCCTCCAAAATATATTCTGAATACTGGTTATTTTCACTGATCTACAGCCACAGCGGTAGTCCCAGCCCAGAACCTCTGGCCAAGATTTCTACACAGCCTTCTAATGAGTCCCCCTTACTTTATTCCTTGCTCCATCCCCATAAATTAGATCATTTTCACATCTCTGCCTAAAATCCTCCTGTGGCTTCCCACAGCTCCAGGATAAAATCCAAACTACTTTCCAGGGTGTACACAGTCCTACTTAATCTGGCCTCTGCTTCTTCCTCCAAACCTTCCTACCTGCTCTTTCCTTCCTGTTCTGACAGCAAGCTGCTTGTCGCTTTTGGTTATTCGCGGATCCCTAGAGCCTAGAACAGTGCCTGACGCACAGCGGAATTTCCATGTACATTTACTTGTTGCATGAATGAATGATGGTGTGCCAGCTGCACAGACCACCTTTCTCCCTCCAAACTCACCACGGCTCGCTCTGTCCCAAGGAGCCTGTGTTTGTTATTCCTTCTGCTTCTAGCAGTCTCCCTCGGGCTCTTCACAGCTCCACCCTCCCTATCTTGTAGGTGAGGACTCAGCTTGAGCTCCTCAAAGAAATCTCCCTGGGCCATTAGAGCAGATGCAGTCCCCTCTTCCATAGAGCGCCATCACATTACTCCATTTTTTTAAGCATGGATCAGCACCCGAAATTACCTTCCTTGTTTATTTAGGTTTTATTGCCTGTTTCCCCCAAGAGAATGTGTCTCAATTGATAGGGACCTTGTCTGTCTACCCATTGCTATATCCCAGCAGGTAGAACAGTGCTTGGCACAGAGCAGGTGCTCAATAAGCAATTGTGATCTGACTGGACACTCAAAGTGGTTGTGAGGACTAAGCATATATTAAAACAACTGCTTTGGAAAGCAGTGTTGGTTTCTAGTGAAGCCAAGTATACACTTACAAGGACCAGCAATTCTACCTCTAGGTATACACAGAAGAGAAGTGAGTATATACATCCAGAAAACACCTTGTACAAGAGTTCACAGCAGCCTTATTAGCAACAGCCAAAAACTGGAAATAACCCAAATGTCCATCAATAAGGGAACTGACAGACTGTTGATGCCAGGGTTCTTATTTGCAGAGTCGAAGAATGAATTTAGCAAACACCCAAGGTAGGAGAGCCAGGGAGAGGCTTTTATTGAGAGATACAGTGCGAGGACAGAGCTCCTGGCTCATGCCAGGAGGGGACAAGAGAGTCCGTAGGGGTGCGTTGTCTAGGGGTTTTATAGGCAGTTGAGGATTTTTTGGGAACCGGATAAAGGCTTAGGGGTGTGGACTTGTTAAGTGATTCCTGACTATTTAGAATTAACTTAACATAAGGAATTTCCTGCTTTGATTTCTCCCTGGGGATACCTGCTTCTTAGTCAGGGAGCATATCAAACAAGGCCGCCTGCCCAGCCCCTCAAGGTGGGCTGAGTTATTGTCTGTTTGCTAAAGAGTAAGTTAAGAATCTTACTTCTTAAACTTCCTGGGTGTTAAAATGCAATCTTATCTTTAAGATGGAATCCTTCCTGCCTTTAACTATGCTGTTTACAGCTGGGTCTGCATGCTAAGTTAGTTGTCCAGTTTGCAAATCACCTCATCAGGGCTGAAGGAGAAAAGACAGCACATAGGCCTGGGCCTTTTAGCATGCTAAAGTGAATCTTACACATGATTACAAATGATTAGCATAATAAAAACATGTGCTACTCTTCTTTATCTGGGGAATATTAACTGATCTCACTGAAGAATGACTCTAGAGCTTAATGTTTAACATAGAGTTTTGGTAGGGGGTTTCCTTGTTATACTGCTCTGGCCAAAAAGATACCACACACAAAAAAGGCATACTATGTGATCTTATGGAATTCAAGGACAGAGGAAACTAGCTGTGCACTGTGACCCCTTTCCAGTGCCATTCATGGGCCTGACACCACTTTTTGGTATGCGGAAGTGAGACAAACTTGAGGAAGGATTTGCATTGACAAATGGTGGCAGGGTCAGTGCATATACTGTGGGTGGAAAGAATGTCTATAGCCTGGGTAATTTTGGAAAGCTATGTGCAAGGCTGCCCTGGCCAACAACGGTTGGTGGAACAGCTGGAAAAACACAGAACTTTCAAAGAACACCAAAGAGGATACTGCGGCTTCATGCAGGAATCAGATCTCAAAATGTAAAGCAGTGAATGCGACCCCAGCCATGGCCGTTGCTGTGGCAGGTGGCTTCCTGCCGGGGCTAGGGGAGGGCCCTGGGGGGCATGGGGCAGGGCCATAGCAGATCTTTCTCCTGTGCTGTGGGTCCCTGCCTCCAGGCTGCACATGGAAGGTGTTCCTCCATCTAGTGGTGGAGCAAAGCACCTCCGGGGGCCCTTTTCACTTCTGAAACCTAGTAAAGCTTGGAACCCGAAAAGGCCTGTAAGGGGTCTACTTAATAGCCAAGAGATCAAGCTTTCTCTTATACTAAAAGCCCCCTAGAGGCAGCACACACAATGGCAAAGACCCTCTGTCCACCCCTCCCACAGAATCTGCCTTCCAGCCATTTCTACCATCGTTCATTTGTCATGCTGCAGCAATGACTTGAGCTGGTTGGGAAACACAGAGATAAAAATTAATTGTTCAGTGTGTAACTAGAACCTTGTGAAACCTAAATAAGCTGAATTCAGAAAATGTGCAATGACAGGGCAACAGAAATAGGCCACAGAGAACAGATCCCTGTGGATGCAGATATGCACTGGAGGTGTTATGGAATACGCTGGTAATTATGTTAATTACACACAGGTAGTTACTGTGGTTTGTCTCCTCAGATATGCTTCTCTCAAACTGACTAAAACGTTCTTCACTTTATGGAAGGTTGGGAATGTGTTTTGTACTCATTACTGTCCAGTTTAAATAAGGAAATTTGGTAAGCACGATGCAGGACAAGAAGATAAAAAGTGCAATTGAGGATTCCGTGTGCAATTCCAATCATCTTTCAGTTAAAAAAATCCTGTAATCCCACAAAGAGCTCCACTAACCTGAAGATAAGCAAGTAAAGGAGATGAGAGGCTACGAGTTTGAGGAAATAGAACCCTGGATTTCAGTTTGAATTGAAATATTGTGTCATCAATATGAAGGGTGATAGCATCAATAGATTATCCTGGGGTGCAATCAAGAGGGTGATCTGTGAGATCAGTCATCTGTTGGTGTGACAAGGAGTCAGTGAATAAGCAGCTTCAGGGAATGAAGAGCCTGCAATTCCATCCAGGCAGCCAAGAGACAGACCATGCCTTGTCCCACAGAAGCAATAACCTTGTCACTTGCAGTGGTTAAAAGACCTGAAGACGAACTCCATCTAGCCCAAGTCACTGGATACGGAAAATTGGCTGCAGCAAATCATGCAGGCAATAAGTTATATTACACTTCATCATAAAGTGTGACTAGTTTTATTTAATTAGATGATGTATACAGATTATATAGGTTTTTCCTGTTCAATCCTCTTAGATATTTGAAGGAGTTGCTCTGTCTGATTCCAAGTGCCTGGTGTGTTGTCAGTCGAGATTCCTGGCCACAGAGGTGGGTTTGTACCCCAGCCCTCAGCAACGGTGATCGGAATGAAAACAGTGAGCAGGAGACCAAAGCAGGACAAGCCCGTTGGTAGGTGGATGCTGGAGGAAGAAGCTTTGCTATTTTTTGTTCTGTTGAGATTGCTATGGGAGGGTAGACATCTGAGGCAGTGGTAGGAAGAGCTTTCTGTAGAATGAAACTGAGCAGAGAAGCAAAGATGAGAGATCGATGAAGAGGGACTTACAGCAGTGGTTCTCAGCCTCGGGAATCACCTGGGGAGATTTAAAAACTGCTGATGTCTGGGTCCAGCCCCAGAAATCTTTACTTAATTAGTCTGGAGTTAGCCTGGGCCTGGAGACCTTTAAAAGCCCTCTGCATGGTTCTTTGGTGCAGTCAAGGATATGAACTGCTTGTCAAGAAGCACCACATCCAATCCATAGGCCTTGAATCCAGCATCTCCTCCTGACTCTGTAACCCATCTTGGTGCCATAAGCCACCAGTAACTTTTCTTTTTCTGCTTAATTTAGTTTGAATTGAATTTCTGTCATTTGCTGCCAAAAGAAATCTAATCAAAAACCTAAAAAGACTGTAATCATAGCTAACATTTATTCAGCATCATTGATATGCAGACACTGCTTGAAGTGTTTTCGTTAGATGAACTCATTTAATTTAATCCTTATTAACATCCCCAGAGTTAGAAAACTATTACAGTCCCCATTTTACAGATGACGAAATAAGATCTGAGGAGAAATACTCGCCAAAATTTACATAACATATAAAAGCAGAGCTGAAATGTGAACCCAGAAACTTCTTTAACCACCTTACTTCAAGGTAGAACCAAGAAAGGAGGCAGATTCTCTGCACGAAGCAGAAATGGGGTCTCCAAATGGCCGGAATATGAATGTTTGTATCAGGAAAGAACATTTGACATGTAATAACAGAAAACCCCGACCTCACTGGCTTGAGCAGTGATTTAACATACTAAGTGGGATGGGCAGGGGGCAGTTCTGGACTGGCTGACTCAGCGGCTTCTTCCCGCCTTTCTGCTCCACCCTGCTCCATGTATCAGCCTCTTCCCCAGGCTGGCTCTCCTCTGGCTGGGGATAAGTTTGCAACACCCCCAGAACAAGTAGATACTTAAGGATTCTATGCATAATTCCAACCACCTTCTGGTTAAAAATAAAACCCATTTCCACAAGAGCTCCTCCCCATAGAACGTATCCTACTAGAACAGCTGCAGGTGGGGAGATGAATGTTTATGCACCGGTGACTCTTCTTAACAGATAGAAACACCTTGTGCCACATGCCACCAGTAGAATTCCTCCTGTGTTTCATCACAGGAAATGAAACGGGAGCCCGGGGCCCCATGGTTCTCAGGTGGGCTGTTGGACCGATGTGGAGGGAAGCATTTACGAATGTCCCAGGGACTCAAAGAGACTGTCACCATCAGTGGGGAGCTGTAAAGGCTGGAGACGGCAGACAGCCTGCAGCCTGGGACAGTCCCGTTCTGTGGCCCAGATGATTTTTGGACATCTCATTGAACATTTACACAGGTGAAGAAACTGTTTAAAATTATCTGAGCTAAAGCCTCTCTTTTATCCATAAACACAAAGCATTTAAAAAATACACCATATTTTCCAGGAAAGCAACTACTGAGCACATCAAGGGAACACTGTGCTTTGTATTCTTCAGAACTTTTCCAAGAGCTGTTCACCTTTCTGGAAAATCAAATTAGCAAAGCCAGCACCACCACTCTGAGTCTCTGCCACAACAAACCCGTGGGGCCTCCCGGTGGCTTCCACCTTCGCAATGATTCTGGGTATGGACCCCAGCATCTGCCACATTGTTTATTTCTTCTAATGTAATCCTGCTGAGCATTTGCATGCTGAAATATACTCTATTTTATTGAAAATTATTTTCCTTTTAATTCTACATTGTGTCTCAGTTCAGACAGTTGACTTATCAATAACAGGAATTTACTTCTCTTCGTTCTGGAGGCTAGAAATCCAAGATCAGGGTGCCAGCATGATAAGGTTCTGAAGAGGGTAGATGGCTATTTTCTCTTCATAACCTCACATGGTGGAGAGGGGAGAGAACTCGCTGGCTTGCCTTTTATAAGGCAATAACCCCATCCATGAGGGCTCCACCCTCATGACCTAACCACCACCCAAAGGCCCAGCTCCTAATGCCACCGCTTTGGGGGGTCAGATTTCAACTTATGAATTTGGCAGGATACAAACATTCAATCCATAACAATTTGTGATATGGTCATCAAATATTTTGAAATTATGTGTATAGAATGATATTATTATCTATATTATATAATTTATATGATATATAAATGAATACATATATATTATATTCATTTTGGTGTAATAAAGAGGAATTTGTAAAAATGCTAGTTATAAAAAGAAAGTGTTGAGCACCCAAAAAGCAAATAACCCAATTAAAAAATGGGCAGAGGATCTGAACAGACACTTCTTCAAAGAAGAAATTCAGCTGGCTAACAGGCACATGAAAAGATGCTCCACATTGCTAATGATCAGGGACATGCAAATTAAAACAACAGTGAGATATCACCTCACACCAGTTAGGATGGCCAACATCCAAACGACAAGGAACAACAAATTCTGGCGAGCATGCAGAGAAAGGGGAACCCTCCTACACTGTTGGTGGGAATGAAAATTAGTTCAACCATTGTGGAAAGCAGTATGGAGTTTCCTCAAAAAACTAAAAATAGAAACACCATTTGACCCAGGAATTCCACTCCTAGGAATTTACCCAAAGAAAAGAAGATCCTTGATTCAAAAAGACATATGCACTCCTATGTTAATTGCAGCACTATTTACAATAGCCAAGAAATGGAAGCAACCTAAGTGTCCATCAGTAGATGAATGGATAAAGAACATGTGGTACATATACACAATAAAATATTATTCAGTCATAAGAAGAAAACAAATCCTACCATTTGCAGCAACATGGATGGAGCTAGAGGGTATTATGCTCAGTGAAATAAGCCAGGCAAAGAAAGACAAGTACCAAATGATTTCACTCATTTGTGGAGTATAGCAACAAAGCAAAATTGAAGGAACCAAACAGCAGCAGACTCAGAGAACCCAAGAAGGGACTAGCAGTTATCAAAGGGAAGGGATTGGGAAGGGTGGGTGGGGAGGGAGGGAATTATGATTAGCATACATAATGTAGTGGGTCACAGGGAAGGCAGTGTAGCACAGAGAAGACAAGTAGTGACTCTACAGCATCTTACTATGCTGATGAACAGTGACTATAATGGGGTGTGTGAGGAGGACTTGATAACAGGAGGAATCTAGTAACCACAATGTTGCTCCTGTGAAACCTTCATAAGATTGTATATCAATGACACCTTAATAAAAAAAAGGATATTGGATCAGATAGGATGAGCCACTGTTGAGAGCAGTCAGGATTCACTTCAGGGCTGAGAATGGGACCCAGCCACCTGAAGCCTGAACCTAGACATGAGAGGGGGCATCAGGCAAAGCTGGGGTTCCTTTGGGAAGGAGGGGTGGGACTTGACCATGGAGTAGTTAAAACATTTTTTCCCCAGGAGGCTTCTAGTTGACACCAGCCAGGAGAGAAAGAGGGTCCCTGAATTTGGCATCCATGGCATTCCAGGCAGAGAGGAGTTTACTGTCAAAAAGGGCACAGATTACCATTTGACCCAGGAATTCCACTTCTAGGAATTTACCCTAAGAATGCAGCAGCCCAGTTTGAAAAAGACAGATGCACCCCTATGTTTATCACAGCACTATTTACAATAGCCAAGAAATGGAAGCACCCAAGTGTCCTTCAGTAGATGAATGGATAAAGAAGATGTGGTACATATACACAATGGAATATTATTCATCCACAAGAAGAAAACAAATCCTACCATTTGCAACAACATGGATGGAGTTAGAGGGTATTATGCTCAGTGAAATAAGTCAGGTGGAGAAAGACAAGTACCAAATGATTTCATTCATCTGTTGAGTACAAGAACAAAGCAAAACTGAAGGAACAAAACAGCAGCAGAATCACAGAACCCAAGAATGAACTAACAGTTACCAAAGGGAAAGGGACTGGGGAGGATGGGTGGGAAGGGAGGGATAAGGGCAGGGAAAAAGAAAGGGGGCATTACGATTAGCATGTATAATGTTGGGGGGTGCATGGGGAGGGCTGTGCAACACAGAGAAGACAAGTAGTGATTCTACAGCATCTTACTATGCTGATGGACAGTGACTGTAATGGGGATTGTGGGGGGGACTTGGTGAAGGGGGGAGCCTAGTAAACATAATGTTCTGCATGCAATTGTAGATTAATGATAACAAAAACAAACAAACAAACAAACAATAAAAAGGGCACAGATCCTCAGCTCCACCATGGCCTGGATGAAATACCATTGACTGAAACCACTCGCCTTGCCTTTGACTCCAGTTTCACAGAGCTACCTTCTGATGACTAATGTGGCCTCCTGGTTGCTTTGATATGGGGAAGAACAGCAGGGGTGCCTCCCATGCTGGTCACTAGGCTCTGGCCCCTGAGAAGGAGCACCCCCAGCTGTGACAGGTACATTGGCATTCTGATTCATGCATCAGCCCCTGTAAATTGGGTTAAATCAATCCAGAGCCTCAGAACTGGTCAGTTCTGGGTGTCTTTACAAAGTGGAGTTCTGGGACTGGATAAGTAGAGGTGGGGAAGGACCACCTCCAGGTGCTTGTAAGCCTTTCTGGGTAACCAGTGGCTTCCTAGGTGGCAAGGGCTTCCTAACTTCTGCTGACTGTGCAACCTGTGAGCTAGTGAAGTGTCCTACAGAGGCCCACTAGGCAGAGCGGACTAAAGGGAAACCACCCTGTTTGGGGTCTGGGAATGGGGCAGGCACTGAGATGGTGGCCCCACCATCCCGCAGGTCCCTGTGTGGTGGGGGCTCTGTTGAACATTTGTAGGCCTCTGATAGCTTTGTCCTCTCTCTGAGTCATAGGGTGCAACCTCTGCTTCAGTCACCCTCCTGGTCCTCCCTGGGGGTGGGAGAAGGAACTAACCCCGTAAAAGCTTCTCAGAGACTGGGGCCCCTGTGCCCAACCCCCAGGGGTGGACCCGGTGGTGCTGCTGCAGTCACGGCAGGATAGGAAGACTGAGGAGTGTGTCCTGCTGCGGGCGGGACTTACAGCTTGGGTTTCTTCCCGATCATTCTTTGGCATCCTGAGAGTGGAGAGGAGCAGCCACTTCAGGTGATGCCACGGCTGCAGGCTGCCAGGCAGGATTCTTGGAAAGGCCAGCACACTCGCCACTCGCTACAAAAAAGGAGTTCACAGATAGAGGCTCTTCTGCAGGCCAGGTTTCCAGTAACCGCAGGCAGAATGAAGTGACAGAAGCTGACCTCCCAGGGCTGAGGCCCCTCTCCTTTGCCCAAGCTTCACACTTGGCCAGTTCGAGCCTCGGGTATGACAGACCCAACTCAAGCTGCAACTGGCAGCATTTCAGTTTCCTTAGACCCAGCCCATCCTATGGGCTCTCACTTGCCAGCCATTCAAGGCTGCACAGTACCCAGCAGAATCAAGACTTCTCACTGCCCTCCAGAGCACACACAGAGCCTCTCCAGAGCCTCTGCCCTGATGCACCCACAGTCACCTGCACTTCCCACTGTCTTGCCTTTGCGGCTGTCATTCCTTAAACCCTCAAATGTAGGTCTTTTTAAAGGATTCAGCCCTTCTGTGAAACCTGCTCTGTTTGCCTGAACCCAAAATGATCGCTCTCTCCTATGACAGCACTCTACTAGTATGCCTGTTATGACATTTACCACCTTATGCTTTCTATTATATCACAGTAGCTTATGTCCCCTATGACTTCGATGTTCTAAAAAAATGTGAATCATGACCCACTAGTGAGTTTGGCAGTCACTTAATGGGTCATAACCTGAATTTTAAAAAGTAAAATAGAATAAAATAGAACATTTTAGGATCCATTAAATATAAACACATTCCTCACTTTGGTTTATGGTCAAAAGCTTGAATGTCCCCAGTTTACATAATAATGTTTGCAGCTTCTATGTAACAGAAAGCCTTGACCCAACCAGCTAAAATAACAAATGATTTATTATCTTATGTAACAAGAAGTCTAGAGGAAGAAGCAGCTGTAGTTTGATTTATGAGCAACTTATCAAAACATCAAGGACCCAGATCGCTGCCATCTCTGTCACCCTTCCAGCTATCTTCTCTCATGTTTGCAAGACAGTTGCAGGAGCTCCTTGCATCACAACAACATCCAGAGATAGAAAAAAGGAGCTACTATTCTTTGAATCTCTTTTATCAGAAGAGAACTTTTGTCTAGAATGCCTCCCAAACGCCAGGCAGATCTCCTTCCATTTCTCTTTGAAATAAACTAGAATAAAATGAATGATATGCCTAGTAAAATGTAGCAAGGAAATACAAAATTAGTTTAGATAAGGATAAGAGCACCTTCCCTGAGCATTTGGCTGGTCAAGGAGAAGGGGGAGATCAAGAGATATGAGGTTGGCAAGCAAAGGTATTTGCCAGCCCTACACAAGGTGCACTGGGGAGAACCAGGGTCCTTTGTCTTCATATTCCCTGAGATGCTTACCACATAACAAGTCTAGACAGTCACCTCAATTTCCAGTGATAAATTAAATCAATCACTTTGCCTCAGAGTATAAATATTCATGGAATACATAGATCAAATATCCAATTTGAGATACTGGAGGCATTCTGCAAATATGATTTGCCAATATGTAACTCACCAGAGGCTAGGATTTTTTCTGTCTTAATTTTTCTATTGAATTTTTAAGTGTGAAGGGCTAGATTAGCAACACTGTACATTGTAATACCATTTAAGTAATAAACTACATATTTGTCACAATGCAGATGGCAAGTGAAGATTCCACAGATGGAAATGTGGCTCTCAAGAGGAGATGGCAAGTGTGTGACAGTGGGTGTGGGGAGAGGCTGGATCAGGGGTGGAGAGATACGACGTCATGCCAGAGATAGGCTGTCTTTGGGAACCTGGCAGGATTATTGCTGAATTATTCAGCTAGGCAAATTATTGGCATGTTCATTGGACCAAGGTGCCTGTGATTAAGCCCTTGTTCCACCACTCTCCTTGGCGTCTCTTTGCTTATGTTGCCCTTTAACACCAGACTTCAAAACATGAACAAAATAATCATATCTGCAAGAGGCAGTGGCTTAGAGTATAGAGTCACTGCTGTGTCTATTCTCTTGCATACACATGCATTTGCACACATGCACATACACACTCCCCTTATCAGAGAGGCCACAAGTTCAGAGAACTTTAAACTGCAGAAAACCTTTATCTCTGAGATAGTTAGAATCTTTCTCTTTGCTCCTGTTATAAATACAAGATCCTCCCATCTGTTCAGTAGATCAGACTAGCTTCATGAGGGCCTTGCAATTCCTTGAAAGGTGGCCTTGCTTCTGGAGTAACATGGTAAAACTTTTCTCACCTGCTAGACCACAGGATGCTGTGGGTGCCTCCGCCTGGCCAGATGTGGGTTCCACCCTTGCTTGCTACTAACATATGGCCTAGTTGCAAGGCTGCGTTGGGTCTGTGGGCCTCAGGCATGATCCCAGCTGCCAAACTTGCTTGAAGTTCAGTTTCAGGGGCCTCGTTTTAAGAAGGTCTTTGGCAAGCTAAATGATGTGTTTGCAGCCAGAACACAAGGTGTCCAGAAACTATGGAGAAACAATGATAGTAATAGTAACAGTGTGTGTGCCATTGAACAGGACCTTAACATACATTGTCACATTTGATTTGCTCCCATGTAAGCCTTATAAGGTATTTACAGTCATTTTAAAGATAATCTAGAGATAGTAGACCAAAGAGATTGAGGTTGGTGCCCAAGAACATTCTAAAATGGGTTATTTAACAGATGGCTTGGCAGAACTTGGAAAGTGGCAATTACAGTGGGCTGTATGGCTTCACCCTCATTTCCTTCCTACAGCATTATCCCATCATCGATAATAAGAGCTAAAATGTACTGAGTGATTTCTATGTACCCTACACTATGCTAAGTGTTTCAGGGCATGTAAAACTTCACCAAAAACCATGACATAGGTGCTCTTATTATTTCAAGTTGCAGAGGAGGAAACTAAGCCTTAGAGAGACAGGTTACATTTTTCTCTTTATCCCTAGCCCCTGTTTTTCCTCCTGATCTTTAAAAGGCTTTCTCATTCTCATTCTTTAGGACTCAGCTTAAATGCTTCCAGCCAAGCTTTCCCTGCTCACCCATCATCTGAAGTGGCCCACTGCCAGCCTCAGGTCCCCTGTCACACTCCCTCTGTTGAATTCCTTCAGAGAACATATTAGAATTTGTAGATAGTTTGTTTACTTATTTATTTTCTTGTCTCTTTTCAGTTTCTGCTATTCAGATATGAGCTCATGAGGGCTGGGGCTATGCTAGTGTGTAGCATGGTGTCTGGAATATAATAGGTACTCAACAGAAATTTGAATGAGTAATTGAATACACAGTTAACCAGTAGGGTTTGGACATGAGTTTGTCTAATGCTAGAGACCAGATTTGTAGCTTCTCTGCTCACGTGTTTACTCACTCATCCTTTCATCAAGCATTCATTCAATTTTCAACAAATGCCAGCCATTAATGCTGGAGAATTAAATGTGTAAGACACAGCCTCTGCCCTTGAAAATCTCACCTATGAGAGGTAAAGGTGGTAGCTGAGAGGAGGTGAAGTGGGGGTTATAAAAAAAGCACAAATAAAAATATAATGTGATATATCTTATAGTAGAGTTAACTGCAAAATGACACAGCAAGAAAAAACTGCAAAATGACACAGCAAGAAAAAGAGGGAACCATGTAGAGGCCCCTGCCAGACTTGGACAATTCCTTCAGAGTAGGTGACTTTGAACTTGACCTTAGACGATTACTATGGATTGTGGGGGAGAACAGAACATGTGCAGTGGCAAGGAGGGGAGAACTCCTGGGTGGATCTGGGGCACAGCATGGAACTTCTCCCCTGTCCTACATCGTTGAGTCACATTTGATCATGGTCCCCAGTTGTCAGGAGGGCCACTGACCAACCGGCCTCTTAGTGAACATGTCATGGAGGGGAATCCCACCTATGGTGGGGGTGGGAGGGCCTGGGAGGGCCTGAGGAGGTATGTCTGAGTGGTCCTCATGGTGTCCTCCAACTCTAAGGACTGCTTCTCAGAGGAAGGCACCAAAAGACAGAAGAGAAAATGGGTGCAGAAACAGCCATCCTCTTGCCCTAAATATGGAGAATTTCCTAATAAAAGGGCCAACTATCACCAAAGTGTATATATTGCTTTGTAGTTTTAAAACATCTTAAATATTATCTCATTTCATCCTCCACTAGCTAGCAAGGTATTCTGAAGCTCACTAAGACCATTTATTATTCACTTATTTGGTCAACACCCGAGAAGTGCCAAGCCCCAGACAGGTGTGGGGAAACAGCAGAGCCTCTGGCCCCAAAGCATTTATGTGTAAAGAGGCAGCAAGATCAGAGTGTACAGTGCTGTGACTCTGCTCAGCATGTAGGAAAGTGATTTAGCCCAGGTGACACATGAGCAGAGAGAGGAAGTGGTGACTAGCAGGATGGGCTCCTGAGGCAGGTACCCTTGGGTTCAAATCCTTCCTCTGGACCCACTTTCTGGGCAATCTCAGGTAATTTAAATGAGATCATTAAAAATAAATTACACAAAATAATAAATTAAAAGAAATTTATTAGGTTATAGGTTATAGGCTTCCTGCTAAACAAAGACTCTTAAGTAGACAATCACATAAAAAGGACAGAAATTGATTTCTCTTTCATGTAGACATCCATCCAGGTACTGTGACTCTGCTGGGAAGTTGTACGTCCCAGGCCCTTTCCACCTTGTTGCTCTGCCCGTTCTAGAGCGTTGACCTCCTCCATCCGGTCCAAGATGGCTTCTCACTTCAACTGACACTGTGTTCAGATGCAGCCTGATACAGGAGCTGAAATCTGGTCCCTTCTCAGCATGACTCTTCCCTCTCCTCGGGATGTTGGCTGCATTCTCAGACAAGCTCTCCTATGTGGTTGTAAGAGGGTTTGGGCTCCAGATTTCATGCAGTCTTAGCTTTATGGCCAGCATCTCCCTTCTAAGAGTCTAATGAAAGTCCTGGACCTGACTCTCAGTCATTTGCTCCAAATCAGTGTCCAAGGGGATGGGAACAGTTGGTTAGCTAAGACTAAAGCCCCCTCATGCATGACTGAGAGTTTGGGAGAGATGCATCCCCACACAACACTCTCCATGCTGCTTTACAGAAGAAGGATGAATGGATGCAAGAAGAACAAACAAAGAATCCCTTCCTCCGCCCTTCAATCGATTACATGTACTTCTAGGGTACTACAACCCATAGCAGTGATCTTTGAACTCCACCAAAATACTCCAATTTTGATCATGCCCTCAACAAGTATGTTTATTTCTTTGCAAGTGCACCATGCCATTCCACTAGTCTGTTCCCGTGGTAAAGACTGCTAATGGTGCCCCAGTGTCCACCCTACTTACTTCCTTTGTATAGCATTCCCTAATGGGCACATGGCATTCCAGAATAGATAATATTTCCCAAGATCCTTTGCACCTGGGTGTGATCATATGACTAAATTTGAGCCAATGGATTATCAGAAGTGTAAGGTGCAATTTCTAGGAAAGGCATGCACTTCTTCCCTTCTTCCTCCTTCCTGCTGCCTACAGCTCTGTTGTGCATCAGTAGACTCTCTGTCTTGAGTCCACTCTGATAACCTCTGATGTGGTATTGTGGGCCTGGCCCCATGGACACTGCCTTCCAAGGAAAAGAAAGTCTGACGGGTTTCTGAAATTTGAACAGGATGGCTCAATCATGAGCAACAGCTTTGGATAATGAAGTGGAAGCCACATGTTTAGGATGCTGGAGCAACCAGAAAAGACACCTTACCCATTTTGGGCAGCTTACCTCCAGACTACACTTCCTTGAGACAGAGATAAACTTCTCTTTTGTTGAAGCTGTGGTTGTTTTGGGTATTCTCTTCTTTCTTAATCTTAGACAAATCTGGTCCTACTTGATACAGTTATGTATATTATCATACATGTACCAATACAGATATAAAAAAGAAGAGATAATATACCTGTAAAAAGAAGTTCTGTTTTTTTATGTCCCTCTACCCCTGGGTGCATCCCTGGCCCCCTTCATTTAACAGACCTGTGGCCTCCTTGGTCGCTGCCCTGTGGTGTCTTGGGTGCTTAGTTACATTTGTGAGGCTGTTTGTCTCTTCTCCCTGAATACACTTTGCTCTTTGAGACAGGGGTCCTGAAGCAAGCTGTCCGAACTACCCTGCCCGGCTGGGGTAGAGTCCCTCCCAAGTCCTGGCTTTTTCTGCCTGATGACTCCTCTGGGTCTATTTCTATCTTCCAGACTTTGCTTTTACAATAGGGAATGCAGACCAGCAAAGCTGATGGAATTGACAAGATATAGGCAATCTGAACCCAAAGAAGTAGGCAATCCGTTATTGTCAGGAGAAAAGACAGACACTTCTAGGCTCTGCTGCTGCTGAGATGACCCACTCACAGACCACCTTCTCTGCGCCTGGGCTCCTGGTAGTGCCAGGACCTGGCCTGGATCTGGAGGAAGGAGTGAGGGAATGGAAGAGGCAGGGAGCTTTTTTGTTTGAGAGGTTTCTCCAGGCCTCAGACTTTCTCTTCCCTGGAAGGCAATGTCCATGGGGCCAGGCCCACAACACCACATCAGAGGTTATTAGAGTGGACTCAAGACAGAGAGTCTACAGATGCACAACAGAGCTGTACCTGGGAAACCAGACCCTGCCTGATCTCTTCAGGATCAGGGGAAGTCATGGCTCTTTCCTTGTACCCCCTGAGGCATTCACATCCTGATTGTATCAAGGCTTCAAAATTCCCTGACTCATGCTACCCTCGGATTTTAAAAAAAGAGCTTATTCAAGTAGGCAGCATGCTCCACCCCTTCCCAACTCAGTTATTTAACTACACCACCCATGTGTGTGTGTGTGTGTGTGTGTGTGTGTGTGTGTGTGCGCGCGCCAGGGAAGGGGCTGGGGCTGGGAGAGGGGTTCCTGAAACGTGAAGGAGAAGCCCTTGAGGAGAATTTGTACTGATCTCATTCTGAAAGCAATGCTTTGGTGCCCAAAGTATGGCTGGCACTTCAGCCCAAAGCTGGACAGTCAGAAATGAAGAGAACTGCGGGGTCCTGCAGGTCTGATAAAGAGAAGCAAGCGAACTGGGGCAGGATGCCTCCCCCATCACGGTCTGATTGCTGTTCTCCCACACTTCTAGGTAGTGAGGTTGTCATGTGATTTACTGGTAACTCTGGCAACGAACCCTGTTTTGTGAAGTGTATGGGGAGAAATCCCACAGAAAGAGATCACAGCACTGCAGGATGTTGTGCTCTACCCAAGGGCAGCTCCCCACCAACTCAGTCTGTTCCTCTTCACTGTCATGGTGATTGTCGTTCCTGCAGTTGAGGACATGGCTGTGATTTGTTCTCTTCTGAGCTGCACACATTGGCTTTTTCTGCTTTTCCTTCTGACACTTGCTTCCCCTACTTTGGAACACAGTCTCTGAAGATGGAAGATAAAAATAGCTCTGAAGGAGAGGATGCTAAGGCATGTGTGCTTTCCAAGGTGGGCTTCTCATTGCAGAGTGGTCCTCCTCCAGGGAGTGAAACCCTGGGGCAAGTTCCACTCACTCTCCTTGACCGCAGAGAATGCTCTGGTGAAGCCTATGGAGTGAACACACTGCTGTCTGCCAGGAGAAGCTAGAGCGGTGGTCTGTGTTAGGAAAGACTGAAGAGCAGTGGGTGGGGTGCGTGCCAACTCCCCTGTTTGCAGGCATAGCTGGAGAAAGTGGCTCAGATAGTCTTGTTGGGTACATACGAAGGACATAATTGTAATTTGGGGAAACATATTGTTAAGTGATCCAGCGTAGAGCAGTCTAAAGACTGCAGCCCCCTCTGAGCTGCAGGTCAACCTGCCTATACAGGGACCAGTAAGCAGGTGCTGCCTTCTTAGTGGGATGCTGTCCCTGATCCAGCCTGTTACCAGCTGTGTGACCTTGGACAAGTCACTTAGTTTCTCACCAATAAATGAAGCAGAGGACTATCTTGTAGCTTTTCTCACTAGGTTTTTGTAACAGTCATATTTGAAAATCTAAGGGAAAGTACTTCATTATCCTTCTTGGTTTTAGAAGTATCCATTCTTAAAGGATTCTGAAGGCTGAAATGAGTAAGTAAGTAGGTCAAAAAGGCATGGTAGTGCAAAACCATAGAAGTTACCACAATAAAGTTTTGCATAACATTTAATGAGTGCGAAGCAAATTGCATATTGCATTTAATCCCAACAACTCTCCCCACTGCTATGATAACTTCCATTCTACAAATGAGGCCCAAATTCACCTAGTCAGTGGTAGAGTCAGGATTCAAGTCCTGGCCAGTCTAATTTTCAAACTAGGGTCTTAACTGCTTCTGAAGCCCTGGTGCTGGGGTGAGTCACTGAAGCATTCTCTATGCTGTTGAAGTGAAGTTCCCAGGTGGTTTCCTGGTAGTGTTCACAGAACAGCATGGTCTGTGTGTGTGTGTGTGTGTGTGTCATCTCTCAGGGTCCTCCTGGAAACCTCTAGGCCAGCCTAGAGTGCTGCAGTCTGCCCTGGTTTCATGGGCAAGAGTGGAAGCGTGCCTAGTGAGCATGTGAAACCAGAAAAATGGAGTCGTGTGACACTGTTACAGAGGCAGAGGAGCAGAGCCTGCAGGTTGAAGCCTAGACTGCCTGGGTTCCCTTACCTAGGACTGTCTAACCTTATTGTGCTGGTCATGTTTTCTCTTCCAGAGTCCCTCTTGACTCTTCTCATCCTGCCCATGGCCTGGAAGACTCACCTCTCTGGCCCACCTGACTGCATTTGGCCCCTGGGGACCCCTGGCAGAAAAAGTGAGGCCAGGGTGTCAATTCTCCTGGCTCCCTCTCTCCTGGGTTGTTATGGCTGGCTAGTCTTCTTACCCCTTCAGGAGGCATCAGGATTCCCAGCTGTTGCTAAGTCCTGAGGTACTACACTATTATTTGCTGAATTCCTTAAATCTGCTCACACTTTTATTAAAGTCCCTTTATTAAACTCTCCTCAGTTAGCCAACTTGAGTGCACAAATCTGTCCCCTTCTTGGACCCTGCCTGATACAGTAGGCCAATGGCACCTCCCTCCTGGGACTATCAGGACAACAAAAGGAGCCAGCACTTACACCACACCTGCTAGCAGGTGAAAGCAGGATTGCTGCCCTTCCTGCCTTTGCAGCCACCCCCTCCAGGGCTGCAGCGTGGCCAGCAGCTGCTCAGACTTCGTGTCAGGGCCCGCCCTTCCGTCTTCCCTGGGCCTTGGCCAGTTTGCCTTGGGAAACAATGTATACACTAAATAAACTGAAGACAGCAATTTATATAATGGGAAAAATGAAACAAAAACATTAAGTTCATTAAAAGTGCAAATGAAGGATCAAATGCACATGTAACACACACAGCACATATAATAGTTATTCTTTTATCCTAAAAAGTATTTATGCATCTGCCATATAGAAAAGATTTAGCAATGATTAATACAGGACTGGCCCCATTTTCTCACAGAGCTTACACTCCAGGACACATTCTGCTAAGTAAGCAAAGGGTACTAAGAAGTCTTTTCCCTTTTCATTAAAATTGTGAAAAAAGGATGAATGGCAGGGAAGGGAGTGACTTTAAATTGGACATCTACTATGTACCAGGCACTGTGCATGGCGTTTCCTTTACAAAATCTCAATAAATCTCATAACATGAGGTAGGTAGAGCTAGTTCCCTTCTGCAATGAGGAAGTTGAATCCCAGAGAATTGACATGATTCACCAACATCAATGACACTTAAAAAACATCGAGCACCTACTATATGCCTTGTCCTGTCCCTGATTTCCAAGAATGTACAGACAGTAGAGAGATAGGTGCATAAATAGGTATTTCCAAAAAGTGGGTTATGTGTGAAGATAGTGATGTGGTCAAGGCTTTACGGGAGCATTCAGGATTGTCCTTAGCCCTGTGAGATGTCAGGAAAGAGCCTGGAGTAGGGGAGGGCTCAGCTGAGTTGGTAAGAGCCAGGTTGGGGTAGGGTGGTGGGAAAGAGGGGGCCTCTCAGGCAGAGGGGGTGCCATAAGCAAAATAAAAAGACAGACAGGCTTCAAGGCAGGGAATGTGGACTAGGAGCTATAGGCAGGAGCCAGGTCCAGGCAGCATCTTATTTTGTATCAAGAAATGTTGACTGTAAGTCCCATAGCTTATCCTCTGAGTAAACAGTTCAAACAGGGACTAATGTGCAGACTTGGGTTTTATATAGATCCCTTTGGCTATTATGTGCAGGGCAAATTTGATGTGGGCAAACATGAGAGCAGAAAGACTTTTTATGAGGCTTAATAGTCATCAAAGCAAGAAATAGTAAGTCCCCAAGGGAAGTCAGAGGTCCGGGTGATGGAGAGGAGGCAACTGTGTGGAGAACTGCTTGAACCAAAGAGCCCTAATGGAGAGATGAATTCAGCTCTGGACATGGTAGGTTTCAGGCCCATGTTACATCTATGTGGTGACCAGACCTCCAGGAAATATGAATCAGAGGGGAGAGGTCTGTGCAGGAGTTATCGGCATATAAATCATGCTTCAAACTCTGAGTGAATCAGACCACTGAGAGAGTGTGGGGGTGAGAATAACAGTGGGCAGAGGGTGGCATCCAGAACAAGTTAAGGCTGAGAGGAGGAAGAAACAGGAACTTCAATGTTGACAAAGAGCCCAAGAGAACCAGGAGAGCATGATATCATAGAGGCTAGGATGAACAATTGAAGATTTCGTGTACAGCCAAGAGGCCAAAGTAAGGTAGGCACTGAAGTTCGGACCTGACAAGTAGACTGTTGATGATGCACAGGGTTGGTATCTCTAAAGAGAGGAGTGAGACTGAAGCCAGGCTGCTGAGGATGCAAGGCACATGGGAAGTGAGGAAGATGAGGCAGTGACTCTGGGGGTTTTTAACTGAGAGATAGATATGGGAAGTGAGGTAATGGTGGAGAGGGGGCAGGGTCAAGGGAGGGTAGCTTCATTCAGGATTAGCCTGACTCAAAGCCCTTGCTTCCTTCTTTCAAAATCTGCCCTCCCGGGGCCTGGGAAAGTGGAGATTTGACTGGTACAGACAACCCCCAGCACAGGGCTTTCTTTTCAGGTTCTGGCTTTGCCTGCTGTCAAACCCATCACTGGGGCAGACCACTATGTGTAGGAGGGGCTGAGGAGTATTTAGAAAGCCAATGGAAGTACATAGCTGGTAGATACCTTTTTCTAGACAGGCCCCAAACCAAAACAACAACTAAGTACAGAGAAGAAGGAAAGGCTCTACTTGCTCTTTTGTATTCAAACTAAAAATTTGGGGAGAAAATAAACCTCAAGTCCTGTCTGAGAAATTAGTATTAGCACAGTAACTCCCCTCATGTTAACTGATGTCTGTGTTCCTTCAAGGAAGGCAAGGCTTGGCAGGTCTGTTGCGCTAATGCTTCAGATAAACTTTCTCTTTAGATATTTACTGACAAAGGATTGATGAAAGAGAGTTGAGGGATTTTAAAAAAATCATTAAAAAATTCTTGAAATTATAAAATTTATATATGCTCTTTGAAAAAGGTTGAAAAATACAGAAATACCTAAAATAACCTGAATTCCACCACCAGTAGACCCATCTTGGAATACTTCCTCCTGGTCTTTTCATCTAGTTGCAGGTCCAATTTTGATAGCTGTTTTATGGCTGACTCACTAATGTCAGTGGCAAGGCTCATCTCAGGAGTGATGGTACAGCAGGATCCTATTAACAGTGTGTGAAGGGAAGAGGAAAGGATAACAGATATTAAAAAAATGCACTTGATGGTCTAGTTTTAACATCTATGGCAGAAAATAGCAATAAGAGAAAGACTGAGTATGTCCTGGAGTTATGTCTTGAACTCAGATCTCCTGACTGTAGGATCAGAACTCTGCATCAGACAGGCACGTCACAGGTGTGGCTCGCTTTAAGAAACCTAACACCCTACCCCTAATTTCCATGTCTTATTTTAAATGCTACAGCAGACTGGATTAATGTTCCTTAGTCCTTACTCCTCCCGCCATGCGGCCTCCTGGTAGAGCTGGCCAGTACTTCCTTGCCCCACTGTCTTTAGACTTAGCCACATGACTTGCTTAGGCTAATAGAAACACTAATGCAAGTGATGTGAGCAGGGGCTTTAAATACGTTTCATGACTTGGCTTAGTCTCTTCTCTTGCACTTCTGCTATCGGCTGCAAGATACATTTGCCTGGATAGTCTCTGGTCCCAGAATGAGGAGACTCTTGGAGTAGACTTGAACACAGCTGGGAGTTTGAAGCCAAGGGTATATGGTTCCAGCCACTCAAAAGAGTAATAGCCAATCTGCACACACTAAAGCAATAAATAAATGCTGAGATTATGGGCTTATTTGTTACACAACATTTTAGTAGCAGACACCTGACCCCTATAATTCTAGGATATGAAGCTTCAGTCATCTTTGACATCTGTATTTACCCCTTTTGCCTTTATTCCCATAGCTATTCCTTGTCAAGTCCTCTTCAGCTTCTTTGAATCATCTTCTATATCTATACCTTGAGTCCTATTCCACTGCCACTACCATCACTTACTACTTGGGTTCCTGCAATGGTTTCCTTAATTGAATTCTTATTTCTTCCCCATCCAATCGTCCTGCACAGAAGTGCAAGCTTCAACTGCCTTTCAAGCCCTTGCAACAGGAAACCTCTGCTCAAAAGCCTACAAAGCCTTCTACATTCTCAGCGCTGAAGTAACCAGGTAAGTCAGAGCTAAGTTTTTGTGCAGACTTTTAATAACCAGCCTTAGCCCAGGGTTCTGGTAAAATTGTATCCCCTGCTTTCCATAGCTCTTGTCTCTTATCTTTATGGGATGGTCCTAGTGATTATGGGTCATTTTAGTTTAATCCTTCTGAAATCATTTTTTGGAAGTAAAATATAAACTTGCATTAAGGCCAAACTTCTCTCCTTGATTTTTCAAGCCCTTCTATAATATGGCTCACTTAATCCATTATTTAACACAAAACAGTATTAATAACAATAATGATCTTTATCCAACACTTGTGCTTATTATGTGCAATACATTAAGAATTTCCATGTTGTATAGGTTAAGATTAGGTTCAATCATGAGTAATAAGAGCCCCAAATAACAGTGGCTTACATAAGAGAGTTGTTTACTTCTCCTTTATGTAAATGTCCAGAAGTAGGTAGCCAAGGACTGGTATAGTGGCTTTGCTCATTAAGTCTTCAGGGCCTCCATCCAGCTCACCGCTTCATTATCCATAGAGTGTTGTCCTTGTCCTCTTGTCCAAAATGGCAGCCAGAATGCCAGACATCACATTCACATTCATTCCAGGCAGAAGACTGGAAGAAGGGACAAAGAAAAAAAGGGAGCAAAGAGTACATGCCACCTAGCCTTTCCAGGTAGCAGCCACTTAGCAGCTGCTTATATCTCAGTGGCCATAGTTAATGGCCATACACAGCTGCAAGGAAAGCTGGATAGTGTAGTTTTTATTGTGGGAGGTCATGTGCCCAGCTAAAAATTGGGAGTCATTACTATGGAAAAAGAGGGGATTGTAGGGTAACCAACAGCCTCTATCTCAGATATATTCACTCAATCCTCAGGACAATCCTGAGACAGATAAGATTTTTATGTTCATTTTACAGATGGGAAAACTGAGGCATAGAAGGGATAATTATCTTGGCCAGGGTCAGTGAGGGTGAACTCAGGTGACCTGCCTCTAAAATCTGTACTTTTCACCCCATGCCACCCAACTTCCATGGAGTGGCTCTGGCCCACCTGGCCCATGTTAGCTTATTCCCTCAGCTAAGCTAATTCCCTTAGGGCCCAGGTCCAGGCTTTGCCTGCTCCTGTTCTCTCTGATCTCCCCCTGGAAATCCTTCATGGCCTCATTGTCCTGGCTTGCAATGCCCAAGAGGCAGAGACACAGTCTATGCAGAATCAGAGTACATACTCCATCTAAGGAATCTGATGTAGAGCTCTGGAGTCCAACAAAGTGAGGTATGAATCCTGTGTGACTTTGCACAAGTCACCTGAGCTCTCTGAGCTCAGCTCCCTCTTCTATAAAATGGGAGCTGTGAGGATACCTGCCTCATAGAACCACTACGAGAGGCAAATGAGATAATGCCTGTAAGTTCTCAGGCCACTGCCTATTACATGGCAAGTGCTCAGTACAAGGAAGCATCTATGATTGTGCCAACAGCAGGAGTCCCTTAGACACAGGGAACAGGGGAGCCCACACTGGAGGCCTTTTCCAATTATGCCTCCCTCTCTTCTCTCAGGTGTCTGCAGGCGCTGCTTGAGAACGTTCTTCTATGGCCCTGACCCTTTAGACACGGCCCTGCACAACCATTAGGAGCTACAAGCTTTGACTCCCCTAGTTTGGCATTCAAACTGGCCACTCATGGAATCTGCTTAGTGGGGGAAATGCTACTATTAAACAGATGTGAAATATCGTTCTTGGACAGAACACAAAACAACAAGGTATCTGCCAAAGGGAATGATTTTTATTGCTACACAAAACATTTCCTATCAGAGCACATATAAATCCAGTTAACAGTTGGATTTTCAGAACAAACAGATTAAATGCCTTTGGTGAACTGAGAAGTGGAGCAGGGGAAAACTGGCCACATTATTTTGAAATTTGGTAATGCTTTGACTGAATTTAAACAGAAAAAAATAAGGACGGAATGAGAAAAAATAATTATGCATGAACAAAATGCCTTTTCAGGAGCAGAGCCTATTTGGGTGCTCATTGTTTTATGCATAAAGAACCAGGTTCTCTTTCCTAGGCTTTCCATGCCTGACCACAGCACAGAAAGGGCTTCCTGGAGCCCAACTCTCCAAATCTCTAAGGTGGCCAAGCTAATGTGCTTCCCCCCATCTGCCCTTCACTACCCCAAGCTGCCTTCTGAGAAGTGCGCATGTGGACAGCCAACCTCTGTTTGTTCTTTTTTCTGTTCCTTCCAGTCCATTCTTATAGCTTCCACCTTTATTTCCTTGCATTAGGTCTAGAGTTGTAGTTTTCTGACAGTTTATAGCCCATCAGTCTTCTGGGCCCCACCTTACTGACAATCACACAGCTGAGTCTTTGAGGTTGACCTTTTATTCATCCTCCCTTTGAGTGTAAGTGCTTCTGATCATTTTTCTTGACCATTTTCAGAGAGGGAGTATGCTAACTCAAGACAGCCCATTCCTTCCTAAGAGTTGCAAATTTTTTCTAAATCTATGTTCCTAATAATTTCCACTCAGCTGAGATAGTTAATCAATCAGTTTTCTCCTCACGTGGAAGGAATTCTTTCTCCTTTGTGGCACACTGTTAATTGCCTTCCTAGCATCTGTTTTGTCCTTCAAAAGTGACAGAGTTTTGGCTGGGGATGGGGCTACATCCATCCAGTGGAAGACTACATTTTTTCCAACTCTCTTTCAACTGGATGTGGCCAAGTGACTAAGCACAGACCAATGTGATATGAATAGAAGTAATGTATGCAACTTCCTGCTTACGTCCTTAAAGTGACTGAGTGGTTCATCTCGGTCTCTATCTACTCCTTCTGGCTGGGGATGCTGAGGACTGCAGCAGTCACCTGGAACATGCAAGTGGAAGCCTACTGAGGGTGGAGCAACTAGGCTTGGACCACCTGCCTATCCTTAACTGTTGAGAGAGAAATGAACTGCCACTGTTGGAAACACTGTTGTAAAAATATTGCCACCTCCGTATTTTGGACTCTCTTTGTTACAACAGCTTAACCTGTACCATAACACCCTTATTTCCACTTATGATAATCCTACTCATTCTGTAAGGTTTCACCCAGCCACGAATGTGCCTCTCCATTTGACTTTCCAAATTTCTTTGACCTATCTCTTGTGTTAGGCTTCTCTTCTACCTTGTCCTACATTGGTCGTATTTGCTCTTTGTGGCTCAAAGTGGACAGGAGTCAAATCTTAATCACTGGTTTTTAGTACACAAAGCCTAGCACACTGCCTTATATATGATTGGTTTTCAATAAATGAGTTGAATGAATGCACAGATTGTTCTTCATTGTCTATATACATGATGAATTATAATGAAATGAACAGATAGTTATATTTGATTAAATGACCGTATCCAAAGATTGCTAGATAAGAGGTCATGTCCAGCTAGACAATGAAGTGCCAAGCTGGCAATCTACTGGTCTTTCTCCTCTTCAACATTTCTATTGATAGCATCAGTAAAACAGCCAGTAGACCCACTGCACCTGTGGATAATTCAATTAGATGCCATTACAATAAACTAGGTCAGAGAATAAAAAAATAAATAAAAAAGAGCTGTGCAGACAAGAACAATGGATGAAAATTAAACAGGTGATGTTCTGAATATCAGTTCAAAGTGGACAAAAGGAAAGAATGGAAGAAAACTAGCTTACTTAAAGAATATATTTTTAAAAGTATTAAGGATTTAGTTTGACTGGAAGCCCAGTATGAGTCATGAGTATGATACAATTGCTCCAAAATTTTAGTGCAATTGGGGGCTGAATAAACTTATTCAACAATTACTTACTGAATCAGACAAAATAGACTTCAAAACAAAAAAAGTAACAAGAGACAAAGAAGGACATTACATAATGATAAAGGGGTCAGTCCAACAAGAGGATATAACCATTATAAATATCTATGCACCCAACACAGGAGCACCTCCATAGGTGAAACAAAGACAAACAGAATTAAAGGAGGAAATGGAATGCAATGCATTCATTTTAGGAGACTTTAACACACCACTCATGCCAAAGGACAAATCAACCAGACAGAAAATAAATTAGGACATAGAGGCACTGAACAACACATTAGAACAGATGGACCTAACAAACATCTATAGAACATTCCACCCAAAAGTAGCAGGATACACATTCTTCTCAAGTGCACATGGAACATTTTCCAGAATAGACCACATATTAGACCACAAAAAGAGCCTCAGTAAACTAAAAAAAATTGAAATTCTACCAACCAACTTCTCAGATCACAAAGGTATAAAACCAGAAATCAATTGTACAAAGAAAACAAAAAGCCTCCCAAACACATTGAGGTTTAACATGCTCCTAAATAATCAATGGATCAATGACCAAATTAAAACAGAGATCAAGCAATATATGAAGACAAATTAAAAAAACAGCACAATGCCCTAACTTCTGTGGGACACAGAGAAGGCAGTTCTAAGAGGAAAGTATATAGAAATCCAGGCCTATTTAAAGAAGAAAGAACAATCTCAAATGAATAGTCTAAGGTCACAATTATTGAAACTGGAAAAAGAAGAACAAATGAGGCCCAAAGTCAGCAGAAGGAGGGATATAATAATAAAGATTAGAGAAGAAATAAATAAAATTGAGAAGAATAAAATAGAAAAAATTAATGAAACCAAGAACTGGTTCTTTGAGAAAATAAACAAAATAGATAAACCCCTAGCCAGCCTTACTAAGAAAAAAAGAGAACCTATACACATAAACAGAATCAGAAATGAGAAAGGAAAAATCACTACAGATACCACAGAAATACAAATAATTATTGGAGAATACTATGAAAAACTATATGCTAACAAACTGGATAACCTAGAAGAAATGGACAACTTTCTAGAAAAATCCAACCTTCTAAGACTGACCCAGGAAGAAACAGAAAACCTAAACAGACCAATTACCAGCAATAAAATTGAATCATAATAAAAAAACTACCCAAGAAAAAAAAAACCCTACCAGATGGATTCACTGCTGAATTTTATCAGACATTTAGAGAAGACCTAATACTCATTCTCCTTAAAGTTCTCCAAAAAATAGAAGAGGGGGGAATATTTCCAAACTCATTCTATGAAGCCAGGATCACTCTAATACCAAAATCAGGCAAAGACACCACAAAAAAATAAAACTACAGACAAATATCCCTGATGAACATAGATGCAAAAATACTCAACAAAATATTAGCAAACCAAATTAAAAAATACATGAAGAGGATAATACACCATGATCAAGTGGTATTCATCCCAGGCATGCAAGGATGGTATATTCAAAAATCCATCAACATTCACCACATCAATGAAAAGAAGGACAAAAACCACATGATTATCTCCATAGATGCTGGAAAAGCATTTGACAAAATTCAACATCCATTCATGATAAAAACTCTCAACAAAATGGGTATAGAGAGGGCAAGTACCTCAACATAATAAAGCCCATATATGACAAACCCACAGCCAATATCATACTTAACAATGAGAAGCTGAAAGCTTTTCCTCTAAGATCAGGAACAAGACAAGGATGCCCACTCTCCCCGGTTCTATTCAACATAGTACTAGAGAGGTCCTAGCCAGGGCAATCTGACAACACAAAGAAATAAAAGGCATCCAGATTGGTAAAGAAGAAGTCAAACTGTCCCTGTTTGCATATGACATGATATTGTAGATAAAAAACCCTAAAGAATCCACTCCAAAACTACTAGAACTAATATCTGAATTCAGCAAGGTTGCAGGATACAAAATTAATACATAGAAATCTGTTGCAATCCTATACACTAATGATGAATTAGCAGAAACAGAAATCAGGAAAACAATTCCATTCACAATTGCATCAAGAAGAATAAACTACCTAGGAATAAACCTAACCAAGGAAGTGAAAGACCTATACCCTGAAAACTACAAGACACTCCTAAGAGAAATTAAAGAGGACAATAATAAATGGAATTCGTCCCATGCTCTTGGTTAGGAAGAATTAATATTGTCAAAATGGCCATCCTGCCTAAAGTAATCTACAGATTCAATGCAATCCCTATCAAAATACCAACAGCATTCTTCAACGAACTGGAACAGAGTTCTAAAATTCACATGGAACCACTAAAGACCCCAAATAGCCAAAGTAATTTTGAGATGGAAGAATAAAGCAGGGGCGATCTCACTTCCCAACTTCAAGCTCTACTACAAAGCCACAGTAATCGAGACAATTTTGTACTGGCACAGGAACAGACCCATAGACCAGTGGAACAGAATAGCAAGTCCAGATATTAACCCAAGCATATATGTTCAATTAATATACGATAAAGGAGCCATGGATATAAAATGGGGAAATGACAGCCTCTTCAACAACTGGTGTTGGCAAAACTGGACAGCTACATGTAAGAGAATGAAATTGGATTACTGTCTAACTCCATACACAAAAGTAAACTCGAAATGGATCAAAGACCTGAATGTAAGTCATGAAACCATAAAACTCTGAGAAGAAAACAGGCAAAACTCTCTTGAATATAAACATGAGCAACTTCTTCATGAGCATATCTTTCCAGGGAAGGGAAACAAAAGCAAAAATGAACAAGTGGGACTATATCAATCTAAAAAGCTTCTGTACAGCAAAGAACACCACCAGTAGAACAAAAAGGTATCCTACAGTATGGAAGAATATATTCATAAATGATGTATCTGATAAGGGGTTGACATCCAAAATATATAAAGAACTCATGTGCCTCAACAAACAAAAAGCAAATAAGCCAATTAAAAAATAGGCAGAGGATCTGAACAGACACTTCTCCAATGAAGAAATTCAGATGGCCAACAGGCACATGAAAAGATGCTCCACATCACTAATCATCAGTGAAATGCAAATTAAAACCACAATGGGAGAGAGAACCAAGATGGCAGCATGAGCAGAGCAGCAGAAATCTCCTCCCAAAACCAAATATATTTTTGAAAATACAACAAATACTAATCCTAAAACTAATCCTAAAAGAGAGACCAGAAGACACAGGACAACATCCAGACCACATCCACACCTGCGAGAACCCAGCGCCTCACGAAGGGGGTAAGATACAAGCCCCGGCCTGGCAGGACCTGAGCGCCCCTCACCCCAGCTCCGGGCGGGAGGAGAGGAGTCGGAGCGGGGAGGGAGAGGGAGCCCAGGACTGCTAATCACCCAGCCCTAGCCATCTGCACCAGAGCACAGACACAGTGCATGCGTGGGGTCCTGGATACTAGGGAAACAGGACAGTAAGACCTGTGAGTGGGTCCCTGCAGCTGGCGCACCTGGGACAAAGAAAAACGAGTGCTTTTTGAAAGTCTTAAAGGGACAGGGACCCCACAGCTGGACGGAAGCACCCTGGGACACTTAGCCCAGCAGCTGCGAACCTCAGGGAGCTCTGGGTGCCTGAACACCCGCAGCACAGCTTGGAGGCCCCTCACCATAATAAACAGCCTCCCGCCTGTCCCCCTCTGATGCAGCTCTACCATATTGGAGCAGCAGGCCTGAGGCCAGCCACGCCTACAGCAACTGCAGAGCTAAATAAACTCCATAGCAGCTGGGCAAGATCAGAAGCCCCATCTGCACACAGCTGCCCAGCACAAGCCGCTAGAGGCCGCTGTTCTCCCAGGAGAGGAAGGCCATAAACTGGCAAGAAGGGACTTTCTCTTACCCAACACACGTGCCAGCTCCCCAAAAATATATCTATCTCCATGAAAAGGCAGAAGAAATTGATACAGACCAAGATCACAGAGGCAAACCCTGAGAAGGAGATAGACCTAACCAGTCTTCCTGAAAAAGAATTAAAAATAAAGCTCATAACCACACTGATGGAGATGCAGAGAAATATGCAAGAGCTAAGGGATGAAGTCATTACAGACGTCCAGAGGGCGATTACAGAAATGAAACAATGTTTGGAAGGATTTATGAACAGAATGGATAAGATGCAAGAGGCCACCGATGGAATAGAAACCAGAGAACAGGAACGCATAGAAGCTGACGAAGAGAGAGATAAAAGGATCTTTAGGAATGAAACAATATTAAGAGAACTGTGTGACCAATCCAAAAGGAACAATATCTGCATTATAGGGGTACCAGAAGAAGAAGAAGAGAGAAAAAGGAATAGAAAGAGTATTTGAAGAAATAATTGCTGAAAACTTCCCCAAACTGGGGGAGGAAATAATCGAACAGACCATGGAAATACACAGAACTCCCAACAGAAAGGACCCAAGGAGGACAACACCAAGACACATAATAATTAAAATGGCAAAGATAAAGAACAAGGACAGAGTTTTAAAGGCAGCTAGAGAGAGGAAAAAGGTCATCTACAAAGGAAAACCCATCAGGCTATCATAAGACTTCTCAACAGAAACCTTATAGGCCAGAAGAGAATGGCATGATATACTTAATGCAATGAAGGAGAAGGGCCTTGAACCAAGAATACTATATCCACCACGACTATCATTTAAATATGAAGGAGGGATTAAACAATTCCCAGACAAGCAAAAGTTAGGGAATTTGCCTCCCACAAACCACCTCTACAGGGTATTTTAGAGGGACTGCTCTAGGTGGGAATACTTCTAAAACTAAATAGATGTCACCAGAGAAAATAAAATCACAGCAAAGAAAGCAGACCAACCAAATACTAACTAAAGGCAAAAAATAAAATCAACTACCCACAAAACAGTTAAAGGAAGCACAAAAGAGCACAGAATAAAAGAACCAACATATAAAGAAAGGAGGAGGAGAAATAAGAAGGGAGAAAAATAAAGAATGACCAGACAGTGTCTAAAATAGCTCAATAAGTGAGTTAAGTTAGACAATAAGATACTAAAGAAGCTAACCTTGAACCTTTGGCAATCATGAATCTAAAGCCTGC